TTACGGCACACATGATGTGAATCAAGTGGTCTTAATGCAAGCGCTGGGCGTTTACACGTCCGCCAAAGTGGGCAAAACTCCGCCGACATATACCGGCTCTTTGGTCTTTGAATTGCATCAATCGGGCAATCATTTTGTGGTCAAACTCTTGTATTTCAATAACGTTACGGTCAGCGCAACCGCCTATACCCCCGCCGTCCAAGACTTTGTTGAATTGGATTTAATGAATTGCAATCCCAAAAGCGATTGCACTTTAGAAGAGTTTATTAAATCAGTCGGTAATCACATCCCAGAGGACTGGGAACAGGAGTGCGAAAATATTGTCGTTATGGCCGACAATGAGTACAAGTATTTCAACGCCTTTTCATTGGTGTATATATTGATTGGAGTAATATTGGCCGCAATAGCGATGGCATTGTTTCGCTGTATTCGCCGTCGATATACATCTCATTCAATGAGAAGTGAGAGAAATAGTCTACAAACTAGTCATTTGAAGAAATATAGTCTTTGATAGTATTTACAAATAATTAACTCATTATAACTAATCAAATGAGATGTGATCTGAAAATAATCAAAATTTAGATCATTTGCAATAAAATACTAAAAATGGAAAACTAAGATATAATCTCGATTTTATATTAATTTATTAATTTTATAAGATTTACTTTAAGATAAACTTTTAATTTTATTATGAATCAAAGTGCAATTTTTAATTTAATGTTTTACGTGCAAAAGTAATATTAGATTCAATTGCAATAATTAAGTACAATTGTAATTTTATTGTAATACAATTATAATTTATAATATAAGTAAACCTAAACTTTATGACCATAATTAAAGAAATATTTTTACTTTTAACGACTTGTTACATTTTTGTCCGTCAGTATATATTGTCGCGTCAGCCTCCGTTATATCTCCCGAACCGAATGAGCTAGATTACGTTTGTAAATTGTAATATGATGGTCCATATGTCTAGTTTTTTATCTGAAAATATTATTGAAATCACGTGACTAGAACGAAAGGTCATGGTTCTTGCTTACAATGGTTCTTGTTAGATAAAGGGGTGGAGGGAGCGGCTATGCTATTCTGTAGGGGAGATGTCAAAGTATAATAATAACTTAGAACCATCAACAAATGGCAGGATTCTACACAGCAGGTAAATAAACAATGGATACTTTTGCATGTTAACCTATGGGACATTAAGAAATATTATATTTAAATATAATTAACTATATTTTATAATACTACATTAAATTCTAATAATATTAGTAAAAGTAAATTTTGAAAAATTTCATTCTATAGAAAATATGGTCAATTGAAATATCAAGTTTAAGCCATAAAAATTGAATTTTGCAATTTAATTAGTTCAATGTTAAACCATAATCTATTTCACTGACGAGAGGGAAAGTGAATAAAACTGAAAAGAGATAAATTCACATCACGATAGTTAATGTGGATTCAGATACTAATGAATTTATAACCTTGACAGAATACGTATTATGCATAATTTGAATAGTGTCAATAGTGTTATAAAATTTTAATTCAATCCTTAGATTCCTTAGCAAACTGTTTGTTGAATTTTTAAAATTTAAAAATATTAATTTAAACAAATGTTAATTAAAGGAAATGTCTAATAATAAAGTCAATTATACAATCCGTTGCATCCAATCCTCTGATTTCGATGAAATCATAGACATCTGGAATATATGTCACTTTGCAGTCATTAAATACGCCAATGAAGTGAGGATTCAATTGGATCCCAACGGCATATTCGTTGTCGAAGACAATGATTCAGGTATTTATATGAATATATTTAATAATATTATAATTAAAAATTATATTTAATTGATTTAAGGAAAATTGTTGGGATATTGTGCTGCTGTTAATCTGTCCAATGAATTGGCATATATTGGCGGATATTGTGTTCGTCCGGAATATAGGGGACACGGAATCGGGAAAGACTTATGGAATACAGGAATGGCACACATGGGGGACAGGAATATCGCTATCTTTGCCCTTAATTATAAGATGTTTGAGATTTATAGGGATTTGCAAAACTTTAATTGTATTCCAGACCGACGTATACTTAATATGAGAGGACAACTTAATCCAAGTAAAGATCTCATCGACACAATCGATGGCATTTCTTTGGTGTCAGTCAATGAGAATAACATTAGAGATGTGATTGAATACGACAAACAAGTTTGCGATGGTTTAGACAGAAGTATATATCTGTCAACTCTCTATAAGATTCCCGAAAATATCCATTTAGTGGCCATTAATGATAGGAAAGAAGTGGTCGGCTATTGTTTTGTTGTGGAGATGTGTTCGGGTATTACGGGTATTGCGCCCCTCTATGCAGACAACCAACACATCGCTGAGTTGTTGGCCAACAAATGCTGTCAACGCTTACCACCGCATAAGACAACTGACGTATTGCTTAAGTGTTGGCATCTAAATGAAGGGGCCATTGAATTGGCAAAGAAATTGGGTTTAAACGAAGTAGGGCAACAAATGACAGCTTTCTCTAAGAACATTATCCACATAAATACCGATAAAATCTATTCTTTAAGCTCTTCGTCTTATCATCTTTAATTAAAATTATATTAAATATACTATTACCTTAATAAAGAAAATAATTAATTTTAATTTAATATTACAACAATTATATTTTAAATATGATAATTTTATAATAAACAACTTTCATGCGAAGTTATTTTATACTTTGTGAATATTTTACTGCTTAATGAGAAGTTTTTACATACAATTCTATGGTTTAGAAGTAGTCTATCATTGATATCAATAACGACTACTGATAATAATGGATGAAAGTTATGCGAAATTTTACAATGTTACGCAAAATGTAATGTAATTAGTTTTAAACTTAATTCAACCTTCAATTCTAAAAGTGTAAAAACGATATTTGAGTTTAGTTTCAAAAAATATTTTAATGCATAGCTTTATCAGACATTTTGTTAATAAAATATATTTTTACAAAACGTTTATTTTATTAATTAAATTGCAAAATAATGTGTTCAATAAATAAACCCAATTATATAATCCGTTGCATCCGTTCGTCGGATTTTGAAAAGGTTAGAGATCTTTGGGCTTCAATTGAGTGGTTCCCTCACAAACACGCCAATGAAGTAATGATAAAAGCGGATCCCAACGGCATATTTGTGGCCGAAGACACCGATTCTGGTATTCATACAAATGTTATCAACAAAAAATATTAATTAAATGCTGAAAATGTGCTAGGTCAAATTGTGGGATATTGTGCTGCAATTAATCATTCAGATGATTTTGCAAATATTGGCGGATATTGTGTTCGTCCGGAATATAGGGGACACGGAATCGGACAGAAGTTATGGAATACAGGAATGGCTCACATGGAAGACAGGAATATCGGACTCTTTGCCATATCTGATAAAATGCTTGCCATATATAGAGACAAACATAATTTCAAACACATCGCCAATAGACAAGTCGTACGTATGAGAGGATCGTTTGTACCAAATAAAGAGCTTATCGACCGAATAGATGGCATTTCTTTAGTGGTCATCAATGAAGACAATATTCTGGATGTCATTCAATACGATAAACATGTGTTTGGTTTAGAGAGAGCCGCTTATATTGAAGGTCTCTATAAAAGTGGAGAATCTATTAATTTAGTTGCAATTAATGATAGGAACGAAGTCTCGGGTTTTTGTTTCATATTAAACACCACTTCTAACGCAGCATATATTGAACCCCTTTATGCAGACAATGAAAAAATCGCTGAATTATTGATCAACAAATGTTGCCAACAATTGCCACAAAACCGAACTCAAGATGTAATCTACAAGTGTTGGGACACTAATAGTTCGGCACAAGAAATAGGAAACAAATTGGGTTTAATTGAATTGAAACGCGAAAAGAATGCATTCACTAAGAAAGTAATGATTGGAAATATGGACAAAATGTTTGGGTTATCGAGTTCTTTATTCTTTGCCTCATAATTATATTAGATTATGATAAGTATATAAATGTTACCAAAAAATACATTAAAATTGGTTTAATATATCCGGATATAAGTACGGTAGTTTTAGTGAGATACAAATTTTGTGAAATTCACTCATAGGTGCGTGCAATTATATGCGGCATAATACTGTAATAAAAAATAATTGATTTTGATTTAATAATATAACAATTATATTTTAAATATGATAATTCTATAATAAACAACTTTCATGTATTTTATACTTTGTGTACATTTAAATGCTTAATGTAAAAGTTTTACATACGATTCTATAATTTAGTAGTAGTCTATCATTGATATCAATAGCGACTACTGATAATAATGGATGAAGTTATGCGAAGTTTTACATTAATGTTACACCACATGTCTTATAGTTTTTAACTTAATTCAACCTTCAATTCTTAAAGTATAAAAATGATATTTGAGTTTAGTTTCAAAAAATATTTTTACAATCGTTTATTTTATTAATTAAATAGTAGAATAATGTGTGCAATAAATAACCCCAATTATATAATCCGTTGCATTCGTTCGTCGGATTTTGAAGGGGTTAGAGATCTTTGGACTTCAATTGAGTGGTTCCCTCACAAACACGCCAATGAAGTAATGATAAGAGCGGATCCAAAGGGCATATTTGTGGCCGAAGACACCGATTCTGGTATTCATACAAATGTTATCAACAAAAATATTAATTAAATGTAAAAAATGTGCCAGGTCAAATTGTGGGATATTGTGCTGCAGTTAATCATTCAGAAGATTTTGCAAATATTGGCGGATATTGTGTTCGTCCGGAATATAGGGGACACGGAATCGGACAGTCGTTATGGAATACAGGAATGGCACACATGGGGGACAGGAATATCGGACTCTTTGCCATATCTGATAAAATGCTTGCCATATATAGAGACAAACATAATTTCAAACACATCGCCAATAGACAACTCGTACTTATGAAAGGATCGTTTGTACCAAATAAAGGGCTTATCGACCGAATAGATGACATTTCTTTAGCGGTAATCAGTGAAGACAATATTCTGGATGTCATTCAATACGATAGACATGTGTTTGGTTTAGAGAGAGCCGCTTATATTGAAGGTCTCTATAAAAGTGGAGAATCTATTAATTTAGTTGCAATTAACGACAGGAACGAAGTCTCGGGTTTTTGCTTCCTATTAAACACCATTTCTAACGCAACAATGATTGAACCCCTTTATGCAGACAATGAACAAATCGCTGAATTATTGGTCAACAAATGTTGCCAACAATTGCCACAAAACCGAACTCAAGATGTAATCTACGAGTGTTGGGACACTAATAACTCGGCACAAGAAATAGGAAACAAATTGGGTTTAATTGAATTGATACGCGAAAAGAATGCGTTTACTAAGAAAGTAATGATTGGAAATATGGATAAAATGTTTGGGTTATCGAGTTCTTTGTTCTTTGCCTCATAATTATATTAAATTATGATAAGATTTTAAGTATATAAATGTTACCCAAAATTACATTAAAATTGATTTTTTATTTACATTAAGTGAACATTTATTTATGTGTTGCAGTTTGTGATATATTTCTAAATTTTATATTTGTGGTAATATTGAATGGTGAATACGAAAAATGATAAGTAAAATTAGTTACAGAATTTGTTGTACAGTATAATAATTTTTAGTATATGTTTGACAATACTAAACTGATATCGTAATTACTAACATGTTTGAAAGACATTGAAATGTGGTGATTTAAAAACACTATTCATCTGATTTATCATTTTATACTAATTTATTGTTGGAATAATGCATAACATTTGACTAATCATGAGTTCTTATATCATAAAGCATTGATATAAAGTAAATACAATTTTATAATATAATTGGGACACTATCGATAATAAACCACAAAAGTTACACACGATGTTACACATCGATTTAATCATTGATGTTACACAAAATGTTACATATTTTTACTATTAAGTTAGTGTACATGCACACAATTCAACATGTGCACTAAAATACAATAAAATTAAACCTGTCTAGGTTTTAGGAAAAACATGGAATTTTATGTCAAATTAATATACTGTAAGTGTAAACAACAATTATTTTAAACACAAAACTAGTGTTATTCTGTGGATAATTTTATTTTCCATAGGATTTAAGGTAAAATGTATTTTCAGTAAAATAAATTCAAAATATCTTAATAGAAATTGAAGTTAATTCATCATATTGCATTAAGACCTTGTCTATAAATGTAGCATAAAAATGTCTTAATCTATCAATACATGATAGAAGTTAAAATGACCATGAAATATAACTGCAGCACTACAAGTATTGTATACATAATAATATTATTATGTTGTTAAGAGTATATAAACAACATTTGTATTTTGTACAACAATTATTTTAATGTGTGCTTAATTCAATATTTTGTTTATGAAGTATAATTGCAATAAACAATTATTTTATTAAATAATAATTAGTAAATAATGTGTACTACAAATAAACCTAATTATATAATCCGTTGCATCCGAGCCGAGGATTTCCAAGAAGTTAGAGATCTTTGGGCTTCCATTGGGTTTTCAATTCACAAATACGCGAACGATGTTATGATTAAATCGGATCCAAACGGTTTATTTGTGGCCGAAGACATCGATTCAGGTAATTACTATAATAATTTCATTAAATTTAGTACAAATGATTCATAATTTTATTAAAAATTAAAGGGAAAATATTGGGATATTGTGCGGCTGTTATCAATACACATGATTTTGCATTTATTGGCGGATTCTGTGTTCGTCCCGAATATAGGGGACACGGAATCGGAAAAGACTTATGGAATACAGGAATGGCACACATGGGGGACAGGAATATCGGACTCTTTGCCTTCAGTTATAAGATGTTTGAGGTATACAGAGATCACAATAACTTCACGTGTGTTCCCAATAGACATATCCTACACTTCAGAGGACCGTATGACCCAAATAATGATATAATTGACAAAATCGATGGCATTTCGTTGGTAGCCATTAATGACAGCAATCTTCGGGATGTGATTGAATACGACAAAGATCTTTGTGGTATTGATAGAAGCGTTTACATCGAAGGTATCTCTAAGAGTCCCGAAAGTGTCAATTTAGTGGCCATTAATGAGAAAAATCAAGTGTTGGGCTATTGTGTGGTTTTGGCCTTAACTACGGGCACGACAGGCATTGAACCCCTTTATGCAGACAACGAACAAATCGCTGAATTATTGGCCAACAAATGCTGTCAAAGATTACCTAAAAATTTAACGCAAGAATTGATATATAAGTGTTGGAATATAAACAATAAATCAAAAGTTATTGCAATGAAATTGGGTTTAAAGGAAAAGAGAGACCAAATGTCATGTTTTACAAAAAGTGTCGGAACAGGAAAGTTAGACAAAGTGTTTAGTATAGCGAGCGTTAATTTCTACTCTTTTTAACGCAATATATATTTTGTTTACAAATTGTGAATAAACTTTTAACAAAAACTATTAATTGTATGCAAACATTACACAATTCATT